AAAATCCTTTTAACTTTGCTGTGTGTTTGAAAATTTGCACGGGTGTGGGAAGGGGTGTGCAGGGGGATTCCTCTTCTTCTGCTGGTCCTTGGGATGGTGAATACCCCAGGGCCTGGGGACTATCATCCTGCTTTGCCTCTGATCAACTCTAGCTCTGGGGGAGGGAGGTTGAGGGAAATTATCTCTCAAATTCTTTCCAGTCTTAATAATCTGGGACTCTGAATAACAGCACGGGTCGGCAAGAGTCCATGTAAGATAAATTTGTGCTGTGGAGGGGTTGGGCTGATTTTACCTCCCATTAATTCCAGGATGGAATGAATGGCCTGGAGTTGGGCAGGAACAGGGGAATGAGTGCTGGGCCCATGGCTGACCAGGGAGAAGCCAAGTCCTGTGGCCCCAAGCCTGGCGCTCTTGGCTCTAACATCTTTGATGGGAGGCTGCCCCTTACCCTCAGAGACACTTCATGGCAGCTGGTCTTCTTTCTCTCTTTCCCGTTTCACTCACTTTTTTTTTTTCCAGGAGGCCCCTCCCACTCCCACCCCACCCCCAGTTCCCAAGCAGCCCTCCCTGTCTGGTCCTGAGGGACACAATGTACCTGTTCTGTCAAATCCCATCTTCTTTCTACGCCTCTAGCTCATCTTTCCTGATGTCACTGAATTCTTGGGCTTTGCAGTCTCTACTGTTCTTGGACCACATTTATTTATCTCAATCCCACTGGCTACTCAAACATGGCACTCAGTCAGCTCCTTCAAATTCCATGGCAGGGGAAACAACCACGTACAAGGTGGCTGACCGTGTAGCCAGCTTAATGAATGTGTGGGCAGTGGGGGTGGGTGACACAGCCTTCCATCTGGATAACTTCAAATAGGAATTGAGACACCCCCCCCCACCATGGTTCATGTGCCCCTGCCCCTGTCCCCATCCTCAATAACACCCCCTCCCAATTCAGCTCTGTTTTCTTTTACTTTACCTCTCTACTCCATCCTAGCCCCATTCTGGGCTTCCTTTTGCATACCCAGGGACGAGGTGAGTGTTGTAAAATTCCTTTCTGGTCCTATTCAGCTTTTAAAAGACACTCTTTCCTCTTCCTTCTCTCTCCAACTTCGCTGGTCCCCTTGGCCCAGGAGAGGGTATTTCCCTCCCAGATTCAGAATCTTAATCTTCCATAATGTTACCTCATTTACCTCTGGCCATTCCTACCATGTAAGTGTTTTAGTAGGCGAGAGGAGGAGGAGACACTGCCCAGAGAGGTTCAGTCACCCACCCAAGGCCACACAGCTACCAAGTGTTGAAAACAGAGGGTGCTCTCTCCTGGCTCTGCCCACAGGAATAGCCACACCCACCTATGGGCACGCCTTCCCTCTGTCCCTCTTCTGCTCCCCTGGCTTTTTACTGGGCCTGACTTGCCTTGCTGACCGCAGGTCTCTTTGGTTCTGGGCCCATCCTGGCTTCTCCTCAGGGCCACTTGCTCCCAAAGGGCCAGGGTGGAGAAGAATGTGCCTTGGGCTTCACTGTTGAAAGAGTTCCAAGGGGCTTGTATGTGACCAACTCCAGACAGTGCAGGAGCTGTCTCTCATGAGGACCCAGTGTAAGGACTCAGTATTTCTGAGAGTTGGCAAAGTATGGAAAGAGGTGAGCTGTGCAGTCACAAGAGAAGGTGCTTCTGTGTGAGTTTTGTTCTGTGTGAGTTTGGATGCACCTCTGGGGCCCCAACCGTGAACCAGAAGTGGGGACTTTCATTTTCTGTCCTGAGACTACCATGGCTGCACTTGAGGGGCATCATCTTAGGTGCATGGGTGTTGCAGTTGTACTGTCACCCAAGCTCTGTCCCTCTCGCTTGTACTGTGACAGCAACCAGCAGGCTGGGATCCCTGGAAGCTCCAGTCGTCCTGCACACTCTGGCATGAAGGCTTTTCTGGGCTCCGACCCTAATGAAAGCAAAGGATCTGGATCCTGCCCCCAATTCCCACTCTGCTCAGTGCTTTGCCTCTGCTGAGCTTCATGAGGACCTGATCATGGGAGGTGAGGGAGCATACACTAACCTTACCCATATAGACCGTTGCTTGTGCCTGCAATACCTTGGCTCCCTCTGCATATCAAAACCCTGTTCTTCCTGGCTCACTGCTCCCCTCCACCCCAGAAAGTGCTCCCCTAGATCTGCACTTGGCTGACCAAGGCTCATTTTTCTAAGTTGCTATTTCAAGGTTTGAGGGAGAAAATGTAAATGCTCCTTGGGGGTAATGATGGTGGTGAATTCAGGCAGGGATATGAAACTGTTGGTGGGAGCCTCCAGACCCAAAGAAAGCCAGTATCAAGTAGGCTCACAGCCCCAAGGAGGGGCATCCCTCCCTGTCAGGAGCACAGTGGCCCCTGAGAAGTAAAATTCAGGCTCATCAGACAAGGACTGCCTTTGGACAGCACTTGATCTGATCTGCCCTTTATTTTTTTTTTAAAGATGTATTTATTTATGCATACAAGAGCTGGGGTGTAGGCCAGAAGTGTGGAGGGTGAGACAATTCACAGAGACAGAGTGGGGAGCAGTGTATTTTCATACAGCATTGTACGAAAATACACTGCTGAGAGGAGCAGCAGATGAGACCGGAGAGGTCTGATGCACCGTGTGGGTCACCTCCTTGGCCGGGGATCGAACTCGTGTTGCAGTGGCTGCGGACAGCTTCATAATGCTGAGACTTAATCCCTTGCATCACCAGGGAGGCTTGCTCTGCTCTCTAACACATGGCAGACAGAGGCCCAAGGTGGTGGTGTCCTGGCAGAGGGCCCTGTGTGGAAGACAGGAGCCCAACCTTGAAGTCACCTCCTGGCCCAGCCAAGTCCTCCTACCTTCCCTACCTTCCTGAGGCTTTATTTCCTCACATATAGCATCTGGCAGTTGCAGCCACCTTTGTGAACCTCATGGGTTGTCAGGAGGGATAATAGATTCTGGGTGCCAAGGAGGCTTTAGAGGCTGATATCAGGGCTTTGCCTCTGTGGCCATCATTTATGGGGTATTCACTTCATGTCAGCTACTCTGTGTGTTATTCTTCTGCTTTACAGCGACCCTATGGGGTAGGGCCCATTAATTGCCCTAACTTTACTGAGGAGGAAACAGATATAGACAGACTGAGTGATTTTGTCTAAGATCACAGAGCTAGGAAGAAGTAGACCCAGGATCTGAATCCAGGCAGTCTCGCTCTAGTGCCTTGCACCTGAGACCTGCACCTTTGGGACTGGAGACCAAGAAGACTTCCTGGAAGAGATGGCCTTGGAGCTGGGCCTGGCAGTCAGGTGTGGTGCTGCTAGATGGAGATGAAGGATGACTTTGCCAGAGGAGCCCAATGCCCTGGGTCCAGGCCCAGGGCTGTCAGGAAGTGCCTCTGATGGGACAGTTCCTCAGGCGCCTGGAGCGAGAGGGGAGGGCAGCTGTCCCCTTCTTCAGGCCTCTCTGTCTCTGTGCACCCCCACCCTGCCCCCAAGGAGGAGGAGGAGGTGCCGTGGCGCTGATGGATATGCTGAGGCTGGGCGGCTGCGGCCCAGCACTGTCACCATGCTCTCCCTCCGTACGCCGGAACCTGACACCCTGACCACTGAGGCATAAAAAACAGAGAATTGGAAGTCTCAGCCTGTCAGGCTGGGAGTGGCCCCCAGAGAGGCCTGGGGAGGAGTGCGCACGTGTGTGTGCACGCACATTCTGCCTGTGCTTGCCTTTAGAAATAGGGAGGAGGCCCACCTGGCTCAGCGGGTGGGAGTAACTGGCCCCCAAGTCCTGCGTTATTGTTCCAGCTGCACCTGACTGAGCCCCAGCATTTGGGTGTAGGCCCTCAGGGAAAGAACAGTGCTCTGGTCCCGATTCTGGCTGCTCCTTCTGGAGGCTCTTGCACTTTGGCCCTTCAGCATCCCTGAGACAAATCCATGGAAGCATGTGTGGGCTGAAGGTGGTCTCGTGGGGCTGTAACTCCTGTCACCATGGCCAGTGAGGAGCCCACATGTTTTGTAACCAGTGACTTTAAAAGCCATTCAATAGCCAACCACCGACACAACCTGTGCCAGGCACTGGGGTCCCTGTGATGAGTCAGATTTGAACCCTGCCCTCTGGGTGTCCCCAGTCACGGGGAGGACACAGGCCGGGCCCTGCCTGCTATAGAGACCAGGCAGTAAGGTTTGTGGCAGGAATTTTGAACTCCTGTCCTGTGACTAGCTGGTGGGAGGGAGGATTCCTGGGGTTGGAAGTGAGCATATGGGGATGTTCCAAGTGCAAGGATCACTGGTCCATGAGCAGCTGGGCAAGAGCGAACCACCCCAAGTCCATTGTGCCCCCTCCCACACCCACTGTTGTCCCCACCTGGCACAGCTGCAGGTCCTGCCTGAGCACACCCCAGTGCCTGGAAGGCCCCAACTGCTCCCTCTTATGAGCTCCCCAGCCCTTTGGCTTGTCCCTTCCATTCAGCAGACTGTTGTCCCAGGAGAGGCTCTGAGTTTATGTGTCATCTGTCCCATTGGGCCAAGGCTCTGGGAGAAGCCATTTCTGAGTTCATAGCTCAGAGGGCCAGACTAGAGTTAGGTCACCTGTGGCTTCTCAATCCAGAGTCACTCCAGAAACATGTGGGAGGTGGAACTGTATCCACACTAGGGTCCTGGAATGGTCTGCAATGGCCAGGGATGAGAACCAACAAGTCTGGGGCTTTCGATGGATGTACTCATTTTGTGAGATCAGTCTCCTCACCTGTAAAATTGGCCAATAAATTCAGGGAACACCGGGCAAGTGGTAATTTCACAGTACACTTGTGGGAGGCTGGTAGTCACTCCCACTAACAAGAACACTTTTGGGGAAAAATATAGACAATGCCAATAACAGCTATCCACTTACCAAGGATGTGCACCAGACTTGCCTTTGTTGGTTATAAAAAGTACAAGCAGTTTATGTAAGAGGAAAATACCACTGACATTTTTCAAACCTGATTTGATATTTGGTTCCTGTTTCTTTCCCCGCTTATCACATGCAGGGAGTGAGTTTTCTGGGAGCCCCTACAGCCACCCTCAGTATCCCTCGTACAACGACTCCTGGAGGTTCCCCAACCCGGGGCTGCTCGGTGAGTACTGGTGGAGGCCCCAGGGCCATTGGCTGCCCCATCACTCCCCTTTGTTGGGCCAGGGTACCTTAATATCCTGAGGTCTGTCACTGAGGTGGGGTGTGTGTAGTTTGCCCGAGACACATGCAATATGCAAGTTATGGTGGGGCCTTAAGTAAACACTCTCCAGGCCTCCATCCCTCCCCCACATGTTTGGTGGATGAGGGAAAATGGCACAGGAAAGGAACAGAGGGGAAAAAAAAGAAGGGGTGGGTCATTGAAGGAGAAAAAGGAGGTAGGGAAAGTCCCTACCCAAGAGAGTAACATATTTCTTAAGAATCAATAAATATTCAGCTGAGAAATCTGTAAATAAGAGGCAGCACAGAGGTCAACTCAGATTGATTGGTCATGGCTACCTGACTTTATAAGGACTCTCAGGCCCAGTGATTGATTGGTAATGTCTGCATGGATATCTCCAGAGCCAGGTCCATTGGAAATTGGTTGCCCTGTGGCTGAAGCCTTCTCAGGCATAGCATCCAGAGCTCATCTGTGGCCCAATCTCCACCCACATTTCAGATGGGCAGATTGTTCATGGTGGGTGCCGGCTTGATCTGTGGACATCATGAAGATATTTGGGCCATCCCAAAGATCAGACAGCCAGACAAGAAGTTTGGACCTGACTATGTGGGCAGCTAGGAGCCCAAGAGGATGGGGGATAGCGGGGACAGTAGGACTGGACAACATCTGAGACTTCTATTGCTTATGCTGGAGTGAAATCCAGGTCCCATCCCCAATTCTTAGGTATGGGCTGAGTGCCTAGCCTGACTCTGTCCCAGACTCTATTTCATGGGCTGGGATGAGGGCGACTTGGCAAGCATGTTTATGCAGGGGAGGTGCTCAGTACATTGAAGGGGGTCCAGAAGCAGTATGGAGAAGAGGAGGAATCAAAACTTAGTTCATCTAAATGAGCAGGAGCTGAACAGGATGCTCTCTTGAGTTCCTCAGCCCCAAATAATCAGTAATCCCACTTTTGCTGAGAGGAGTGAGATGCCAAGCTTACTCTACCACAGGCTTGCAAAGATGTTCTTGGTCCATTCACATCTCCCAGTCTGCCCTTTCTCCACTTTCTTCTGGGCATTAGGCCAAAGAACCCCTCTAGACAGGAGAGCTAGACTGATTATTTCTGCCATCTGGGGAGAGTGCCAGGGGTATGGAAACCTGTAGTGAGGCTCCTTGGCATTCCTGGAAGATGAGTGGGAGGTAAGGAGTGAGTGAGACCCTCCACACACACTCACATGTGTTCACGCCCTCACTCTACTCACTCCCACTGTCACATTCCTGGGCCTTGTTGAAGCCTTCTCAGAGAAACACCACTGCCCACACTGCACCCAGCTTCTCAGGAGACCGTCCTTCTGTGCTGAGCCTCCTCCCCAGAGCTGCCTACAGGCTGTCCTGCTTGGGCCCCAACCCTGAGGGGACCCCACGCTGCTTAGGGGCAGAAGAGGCAAGCAGGGCAGCAGGGCTGACGGGAAGGGAGGCTGCCTGGTCAATTAGGATTAGAATGGGAGCACCTGTGTTCGCTGTAAAGGGATTAGAGAGCAAGTGGGATCCCAAAATGACTGTGTCAAGAAGTAAATTGATGATAATGTGAATTAGAGAGGAAAAATGACAGAAAAAAGGACAAGTTTATTCTAGATGGAAGTCTAATGGGCACCAGGAAGACAGAGTGCTTTATGAGGTGATATTTTCATTTCTCCTGGTTGATGCAAGTGCTTTTGAGTTCACCGTGGAGCTCTTACATGGAGGCCGCTGGACAGCCTGGTCAAGAGATTAGGCTTTGAGAGAAGAGAGTCAGAGCCAGCTTCCAAAGGTGGCCAGTGTGGGATTTATGGAGGCCGAGGAGCCTTTGGTACTGCTTGTGTCCCTTCAGGTCTGTTTGTAAGGGCAGCCCATGTAGTTTTCTGCTCTTGTGCCATGGCCAGGCTTGCAGGTCTGGTGTATATGCGTGCGCATACACACACACACACACACACACACACTCACGTGCATCCTTCTCTCCTGAGCCCACCTGCAGGCAGGATGCAGGGTTGGCCTGATGATGCTCTGTGGGTGACTGTCCTAACACTGTCCCCATCCCACAGAATAGAGGGCAGGCAAGGCTGACAGGTGTCTCTGCGGCAGGACTCCAGCTGGGGAGGTGACAGAGGAGGCAGCAGAAAGATCCATCTCTGGGAATCCATGGACACAGGATTGGTGTCTACGCCTTCCAGAACAGCATAGCCAGACAGGGCTGTCCTTGCTACCTGGGCCATACTGCTTTCCTTCGGCAGGGATGAGTTGGGAAATGTATCTGCTGAACAGGGCTGGGTTTGGAGGGGAGTGAGACATGCTAAAGAATCTCCCATCCTGCTCTCCTGATTACACATCAGCTGGTCACCTTGGGCAAGCTATTTACTGTGTGCCTCAGTTGTAGGCTGAACAATATCAGTTTCTCAGAGACAGAACTGTGGCAATCAAAAACGTTAATGAATACAAAGTGTCCATTTCCAAAGCACTTTTACATCCTGATCTTGTGTCCTCACAGCCATTGTGACCCCATTTTACAGATGGAAACACTGACGTACAGAGGAGTGAAGCCACTTGTCCTAGGTCACTCAGCCAAGAAGTGGTAGAGCCTGACTGGTCATTTCCAGACCCTGGAGGCCAGTTGTTGTACCTGGGGGAGTTGCCAGGATTGCTTTGGATTTGGATGAGATTTTAGTACCAATGAGTCCCCTCACCTGGGAAAGTAAGAAGCTTCCTCTTTCCACATTAGCAGACATGTGGTCTATTATGGCTAACAGGGCCCTAGCTGCTGCCCATTTAGGTAATCATGCCCCCACCCCACCCCAAGTGTTAGGTGTGCAGGTGGTGAAACTGCATTGTGGTGGAGAGTCCTGAATCGGGGCAGAAGACCTGAGTTCCAGGCCAGGGCCTGGCATAAGAACCCATATGGCTTTGAGTATATGTCTTTGGTTTGTTGAGCCTCAGTTTCCTGCTTGGTAAAAGGAGGCAATGGCCTAGCATCTCTTACCTTTGTGGTGCTGAGAATCTGTTGGTCCTGCTGAGCCTCTAGGCCTCGTCATTCCTAGGGAAGAGTTTGCACAAAGCAAGACTCAAAGGGGCCACTTCCAGAGCATGTAGTCCAAGAAAACCACATGGAGACAATGATGGGGGAGGCCAGGGGCAGAGGGACCTCACACTGACTCTGTCCAGAGGTCCCAGGAAGCAGGGCTGCAACCTGCCCTTCTGCCACATAGCCCACGTCCAAATCTTCTTGTCCTCTAAGCCCTAGCCGATCCCACATCCTCTGGAATGCATGACCCTGCCAGAATAATCTTGCATTCCCCAGAGCTCTTTTCTCAGCACTCTGCTTCCCTTCCTGACTCTGAATATTGGCCTGTGTCAAGGGTGATGCTTGTGCATTATTGCCCAGCCCTGCACCCAATAGGCTTAGAAAATGAGTCGTGAATGAATAGGCAGGATCCTCACTACTGTTCATTCCTGCGCTCGGTGCTGTTGTTCATTTACTTAGCTGAGCACGTGCCACTTGTCCTTAGAGTGCGAACGGGGACAGACACCAAGATGAGCAGAATCAGCCCCTGCCTAAGTGGGTTGTCTGTCCAGGGGAGCAGAAGAAAGCACAGGCAGGAGTAATGGCAGCATGGGGTCCAGCCCTGAGGTGAGGGGGCTTCCCAGGAGAGATTAGGTACTGGGACTTGAAGGAGGCAACAGGAAAGAGCAGCCAAGGATTCCAGGCAAGAAGCCGAGTGTGGGAAAGAAGGCACAAGAGTGTGATAAAATGGGCTACCTCTCCTATCCCATATGCAGCTTTCAATGAGACGCCTGTGTGAGGACGCAGCAGTGGGGAGCAGAGGAAATGCTCAGCTGTGCTAGTTGCTGTTATCATTATTTGAGGCTGCTGTCAAGAGCCTGATGCTGGTAGTGCATGCGTGTGGTAGGAGGGCACAGGTTGTGGGAGGTAAATGCAGAGACTTCTTTCTGTAGGGCGAGGTCCCAAAGTGAGGACTTTGCATTCTCTAGGTCAGGGATTAGCAGGGTTTTTTTTTGCAAATGACCCAACAGCAAATATGTGCGGCTTTGCCGGCCCTATGGTCTCTGTTGCAGCGACTCAACTCTGCTGGGTGGCATCGAAGTCATGGTTGGTAGAACATCATTGACCCAAACCGGCAGCTGGGAGGATTGGTCCTAAGGGCTCCTGTCTACCCACCCCAGCTCTAGGGAAATCTTCGAAGCAGGTAGCACCCCTGAACTGGCTTGCAGTTTGGGGAGCAGGGGCTTTGGTGAGAGAGGATGGTGAGGGGAGGATGGGACACAGAGGAGGGACATGGGAGGATAGAGGGCCCAGGTATAGGACTGGGGGCACAAGGTCACCCTCTGACCTCCATGCCCTTTCTGTCTCTTCCAGGTTCCCCGTACTATTACAGCGCTGCCGCCCGAGGAGCCGCGCCGCCTGCCGCTGCCACTGCCTACGACCGCCACTGACCCTCGGAGCCAGGCGGGTGCCAAGCACTTAAAACACATATCACTGAGGGCGATAGCCTCCCAGTCCCTCTGACGACAGCAAGAGGGGTCCAACGAGACCATCCCCCAGGCATCCCCAACTCGCTGAAATTCCCTCCCCCCTTTTCCTGCCAGGGACTCTGGGGTTCTATGGTAGGGCTGTTGGACTTCTAGACACATCTGTTTCTAAGAGTCAATCGAGCTTCTCCCAGTGGCAGCTGGGTCTCTGCAGTCAACTGCAGCTGCAGCCCCAGCCCTTCCTGCCAGCCCCCAGCTATCTGACCACCCACCTGTCTTCCCCGCCCCAGGCCTGGGAAAGACAGCTTGCTTTGGTTGCTTCAACAGCACCCATGTAAATACCTTCCTGCTTTTTGGTGGGCCCTAAGGTCCAAAGAAGCAGACTGCCCACGTATCACGCATCCTGCACTCCCGATGCATCCCAGAACATCTGAGACCTGTGTGCAGAGCTCCCCCTCTGCCCTGGGGCCCCCATAGGTGGGCTTGAAGCTGTCCTTGAGACAGGATGCCCACCTCGGGGCCCCAGCCTCCTGCTCATTATTACTTCTTTAATGTTTTGACCTGGAGTATCACAGGGCTGGTTATGCTTCAAGCTCCCCCCACCTGACCCTGCCACCTGACCAGACCCTTCCCCAGGAGAAACACATTTTGGGGAGATATCCTGGCTTCCCACCTCCATTTCCCTGGGCTCAATGCAGTGCAAGCAGCTCTTTTCTGCATCAAAGGATTCAAAGAGAACTTTCTGGGAAATTCCTCAGCCACTGTTCTAAAGTAAGATGTCGTCCAAGGTGTTGATTGCATCATGGACTTTGAACATTAGGGCTGAATGAGATCCAGGAGACCACAGTCTAAGGCAGGACCCAAGGCTCTCCTGACTCCTCAGCCTTGGAACCACTGAACTGAACTGGGATGTGTTTCACGGAGGCGTGCCCAGGCTCAGATCACTCTGGACATCCACACGGACACTTTCCCAAACCTCAGCACCCTAGAAGCGGACTCTGTCATGTAGACAATGAGTAACAAAAAGGACTATCCCTGCACTGAAGACCACAGACACCTCCAACAATCAGCCCGGACTTCCTGAGCAGCCTTTTCCTTGTGGAGCCTACTAGCACATGGCTGGGAAGGGAAGTGTAGGTGGGCCTGACTCCCACAGTGGGTATCTACCTGTTGACACAAGGGGGTGAGATGGTCAGGGCTGTGGCTTAGGGAGCTTAGAGAACTCCCTGTGAGCTAGAGTGGTCAGGAGAAATCACCTGGGAAGATATGGGGACAGAGGAAGGCCCGCTGGCAGAGAAGGACAGACAGGCATGAGGAGCTGATGTGTGAACCGGGAGTGGTGCTGGATGGGGTACTGAGGGCCACCATCTCTCTGCCCGTGGCCTCAATTCCTAGCATGATCTCTTGCCAGGTCAAGATGGCCAGGTGGGGACTCCCTCTGAAACTGGACTGACCTACAGCGATGACAATGGACTTCGCCATTTCATCTAACAGTGTCCCCAATGTCTGTCTGTCGCCAGGCTGGCAGAGAGCTGGGGCTGAGCGAACCCACACCACCCGAGGTTACCAGGCCTGAGAAGTCTTGTCCTGGCCATGCCTCTGTCTTGCTACGGCACCTCAGACAAGACCCCGCACCTTGCTGAGCCATGACAGGGGTCACTGACAGCTCTCTCCTTCCCTTCCTCTCTGGTCTATGACAGGGTCATCTGAGCAAGCATATAGGAGTGGAAACCTCAGTCCTCAGAATATTTGAACCAAATAGGAAACAAGACACCCAAAGGGGTAGGAATCAGCCTTGAAGAAGACCTAATCCATTTCCCCTTGGGAAACCGAGACCCGGTGAGGAAGCCTAGGACCATCCAGAGAGAAAATAGCATACTCCACCGCTTCTCACCACCAAGCGTTTGTCACCCAACACCTCTATAAGGTGGTGGGAGAGAAGGGGAAACTGAGGCAGAAGCAGGTCTGAGATTCCTGACCCCTAGCACACCCTTGGGGGGGGGTGTGGGACAGGAGGAAGCAGGAGATGGTTCTGGGCCCACTGCCTGTTAGAATTGCCAAAGGAGTCCAGTCACCAAGGCCCGAGAAGTAACCAACTGGAGCCAGTAAGCTCACAGTGGTGCACCTGCCCCAGTACCTGCTGCACAAAGAAGGAGGTAGCAGGGGCAAGAGAACACCTCCCGGAGCCAGAAAGAACCAGCTCCAGCCTCCACATGCCAGGCAAGGCGGGAGAAGGTATGTTACCTAGCTCCTTGGCCCTCCCCCTACCTTCCACAGGAGGTGCTGGGCTCATGGTCTCTTACACCCATATTTTTGGATTCCGGTCCCTCCTTGTGGTCTGAGGCTGCAAGGAGGCCAGCCTTCCTGGTCCCACTGTATGCCTTTGAGCCATCCTGTTCCTCTTCTTGTCCTGGGATGAGCTTCCTCCATGCCCTTCCTTTCTCCCATGAAGCTCTGCTGGCCCTCAGTTTTGGATTTATTAGATGACCCACTGATTCCTGGGTTGCCAGGCACAAGCACAAGAGTACATGAATGCACATGTATGTTCTCACACATGTACCTGCCCTCCAACTCCGAGTTCCCACGCTGCCCTGTGGAGCTGCCTGGGAGCTTGGAGAGGAGACATCCAAGGGATACACACCGCTGAGTAGATGCCAGAGAATTCTGAATGGAAAGCACAAGGACAGGACTTTCACCAGCATAGAGGCAGGAGGCCTGGGACATCCTCTGCAGGCCTTCAGCCCCACATTCTAGACCTGACTTTTTGAAAAGGACATTGTGAATTTTATGAAAAGTGTTCATACTATGAGTCTGGCTCCAACCTAGAAAAATGTGTTGACATATCAAACCCAACATCCCTTTCCCAAGGCACCTTAGGGTTAGCCCTTTCATAAGTGACATTTGTATGGTGCTTTGCACTTCTTGACCATCCCACGTGGCAAAGATCACAATGCCCATTTCACAGATGGAAAAATTGAGATTTGGGCTTCAGATGGCAAAATAGAGGTTAAAGTGAATTCTCAGATGTCTAGGCCCCATTCTCTCTCCATAGAATTGTACTCTTGTCATGGAAGTTTATGGCCTAGAGACACCCTTCAAGCCCCTAGAAACCTCCCAGATGAACAAGGAAAGAAAAAGCAGGGAGCCAGAGGCTGGCCCGGCAAAGGGACCTTGGGGTTGGTCGCTTCGCTGGTCTAATTTGATTCCCATTAACACTGAAACCTGGCAAAGTTTTTGCCCAGAGTCATACCAACACTTCTGAGGTTTCACCCAGGCACCTTTCCTACTGTGCCCCAAGGCTCAAGAGGAGGGGGAGCTTGCCCAAGGCCACACTGCGATCCTGATAGCCTGCATGAGGGCAGGCTCTGCCTGCTGGGGCCCAGGGCTCCAGTACCATGATGTGGTCCCCACACCAAGGCCACAGGGGTACCTGCAGGCCTAAGAAACACAGATCAGTCTCTAGGATGCTGAGCTAACTGCTTCCAGGCCAGGTGGGTGGAGCAAAAGAGAGCATGGTGGTGGAATCCCAGACACCTAAAGAGTGCTCCCCACCCATGGCAATGGGTAAAAGCTTTTAAAATGCTCTGTCAGTTAAAACAGTATGTCTGTGGGCCAAATTGGACCCCCTGGCCACAAGCTTGTGACCCCTGCTCTTTGACCAATGCTCCCTTTCTTCTTTACCTCCTTGGCCTCCTTTACAAGTTTGGGGGCATGGGAGCCCAGTGAGATGAAAAATGAGTTTCAGGTTGTCTCGCAAGTCAGTAGCAGAAAGAGGCACTGCAAGTCTCTGCCCCCTCCTTAATGCTAGGCTCTTGCAAACTGGGCTCTGAAGATGGGTGGGATAGAACATCTGAGATTGGTGGGGGCCATGTGCAAGGGACTCTTCATGACTTTGAGGGGAGGTTGGTGCTGCTGGGGTCTTTCATGTGTATGGGGCAGAGTCCCACATGTGGCCACAGGGCACTGAGGGGTGAAATCCCTTTATGAGAAGTCATATCCCAGAGTGACTGCCTGGCCTTTGGCAGCCCCTGACTAGCCACTGGCTCTGGATGACATTTCAGCTAGAATTTATCTCCAAGTCACGGGGAGCAAATCTTAAAGACAAACCAAGCACTACTGACAGGTAGCTGAATACAGAAATGCCTGAGACATAGCTGCCCTGGATGATAGAGAAAAATCCAGGCCCCCACACCAGACCCACTCTGGAGTGGGCAGATCCCACGGGCTCTGGGCTAAACCAGCTCCCAGGGCCCTGCGAGGAGCCCTGGTCTTGACACCCATCCTGCAGTCTGCCTCAGATGGTTTCCAGGCACGCACACCAATGGTCCCGGTGAACTGATTGCTTTAGTTCTTCTGGCCTCAGAGAGGCCCAAGGCAAGTGCATTTCTTAAAAGGTAACAAAATCCATTATTGGAAAGTTGGACAGTCAGGCCATGACTCCCAACCTGCAGTCTGCCCCACCTCCCGGCAGCCCCTTCAACCTCTTGTCCCCTGCCATCCTGTTCCCCAGGATTCCCTCTTGCATATTCATGGTGGAGCCACAGTGTCGATCCACACTTCCCCACTGTCAGCTCCCAGCTGCACCTCCAGAGTGGCGGCCAGGTCCTGAGGGGCGGCTGCAGAGCGCTGGAGGCCAGTCCCTGGTGGCCTGCTCTCCTGAGAGGGACTGAGATTCTCAGGCTGGCCTGCTGGCTGGAGCAGGCAGGTGTTCTTTAATTCACTGTAATTTCTCAGCACTGGGGGCCCATTCCTGGACCCCCTCATCACCAAGCCCCCTGCCCCCCCCAAAATCAAAGGAGACCTCAGTGTCACATCCCTGCCATTCTAGACTTTCAGTCCTCGTGTTCCCAGGAGTCCTGTTTAATCTATCTCTGAGTTGGGGGTAAAGATAACCACCTTAAGTAAGCCTAGATAGTCTTCATCCCACATCTTAGCCCCCCAAGGGGCACAAGGAGAAATTGTAGCTGTTTTTTTATACTAAGGGAATCGCAATGAATTCTAAAGTGGAGTTGGTCTCAGGTAGAGCGCAGGCAGCAATTACACCCCTCGGGTTTGGGCAGTTGTGAGTGTGTCACAGGGAGGGAAGCATGCAAAACAGCAGGGAAGGGATGACTTGGAGGTGACATGCCCCTCCTTCCTGGCTGAAGGAGGCCAACCTGCAGTCTCACCCATGGCTCACCCAATCCTGCAGCTCTGGCTGCCAGGCCACCCTTATCCCCCAAATCACCATGTGTGTGGCCACATCCCCCATCTTCTCCAAAAGCACCATTAGGAACAAGTGATTTTGGATGATGGACTTTTGATTTACAAACGGTGCATTTTCCCTGAAGTGGAACAGAAAGGAAACCATTTGATGGCTCCCTTATTTTCAAGCATGAATACATTTTAATGAAACTATTTTATTGTATTTGAGGAAATGGAGAGTTGAACATTCCAACCAATCAATAGCCAATTAATTGCCATAAAGCTAAAAAAGAAAATAAATAAATCCCGAGTCCATTTTAAACGCCCCGCAAAGCTCAGAGCTGTGGAGTCTGGCCTTCCCCTCTGCACGCGTGTGCACACGCCCCTACACCTCAGACATACTTGAAACTCAGAGAAAGCGCTGAGTCTCCTCTTGCCAGTTCTTGCCTGCTCTTCTTGCCTTTGGTCACAGGTGAGCAGACCTGGCAGCAGCCAGTCCCGGGGCTCGGGGGAAACAGGCCTGTGTTGGGCAGATCTGCCCTCACGGTGTGGGGGAGAAGGCAGTGAGGACCCCCCACTTCCCCGTCTAAGCTTCTGGGCCTCTCCAGGCGGAGGGTGGAAATCTGACTCGGGTTTTGCCCTGACTCTTGCTGGAAGATGCTGCCCTGGTTTTTCACCCTCTAGTGGCCTTTGGACTTTGAGTATTTGTAGAAATGCAGATTACATTACAAATGGAACTCTGCCAGGAAGACACTTGGATTTTGCTTTTCATTCTTTGAGACAATTGACTTTGTCTTAGGAACCGACCTTCCAGAATCAAAGAAATACATATCTACTGTATCCGCCAAAGTTTGTGATGCCTGCATAGACGCTTACTTGTAAAAAAAAAAAGTACAAAAAAAAAAAAAACAACAAAAAAAGAAACCACAATTGAATTGCCTTTGAAAGTGGGAGATGCTCTGTCTCCAACAGTTTGGAAAAAAAATGCTTCTTAAAAATGTGTATGTTTTGTATTCTTTTTTTCTAGTAGAAAATAACTGACTTGAAATATTGGTGGTTTTTTTTTTTCTTAGTGACGTGTGTTGCTTTTGTGTGTAATAATATTTGAATGTAATTACAGCAGTGCCAATTTGCCAAAGATGTTGGACATATTTTTCTTTCTTTCTTTCTTTCTTTTTTTTTTTTTTTTTTGGGAGGAGGGCAAGGGCTGGGGGTGGGACTTGGGAGAAAACAGGGGTGGGATTTTGGTTTAATTTTTTATCTTTTTTTTTTGGTCAAACCTGGAATTTGTGGTTTTATTCTAAGTTAAATGGTTGACTGCAACACTTTTATTTTAGATTAGTTGGAGAAACTTGCAATAAGATTGGCGTAGTTTCAATATCTGTGTGTCTTTTCATGAGTGACTGTTACTTGTGAAGAATTGATTTTATGTAACCTTTATGTGAGATAATTATTTGTAAATATTTGCCATAATTTTATTGGTTCCTAAAATAAAAGTAATTTTTTAAGTTCAGAAAAGAATTTGATCTCCTTTGTTTGCACAACTTCATAGATGGGCTTTGGCAATTTTGACAAAACCACTTAGGCTTCAGGGAATTTTATTGACTCTCCTCCTGGGACCAAAACAAATCCATGCTTTTCATCCTTCACCGTGCAGTTGACCCCTTTCACCTGATTTTGGTGGCGACCATGATGTAGTATACACAGATATT